AACAAATAAGAAGTTCGGACTCTTCCTCCTCATGCTGTCCCACCTCTAACACCAACTACTTTCCCACCTTGCTGACAATAAACATATCCTCACGTCGGATGACGCCCTGCTGCATCTTGGAGCGCAGAGCCTTTCCAATGTCCACCTCGTTTTGATAACTGTAGGCAGTATCTATGTGGCGGTATCCAGCCGCGATGCCAGTCTCTACTGCGCCCTGGATCGAGGTCGGGGACAGATGAGAGGACTGCAACAAGCAGGACAGTAGAGTTAGTGTCTGCTAACCTTACTCTTGGTTCCTGGGCACATTTACATCAATGTAGAGAGAATTTATGTGAGACAGATAATACAACAGATAACACAAAGTTGAGAGGGTCAAAATAACATCACAGATGTGCATGAAGTCAAGCAGCACCATTGGTGATAGGGGTGGGGGAAAAATCGATACTGTGTAGCATGGTGATATTTTGTTTGCTAATAATGTATCGATACAGGGACAGCAGAAATCAATATTTTGTTACAAAAAGGTTTTTGTGCTCTGACTTCAGAGCATGTTGATCCTTTTTCTGAGCAAGAATCCTGAGTATCTTCTTACCCTCCACACATCTACGTAGTCTACGTCAGAGGTCACTATCTTTCCATCCTTCCTTGGGAAAAGCTCATCGCCCATTTTCTGCAGTGAAATTAAAAGTCCATCAGACAGATGGCTCATCTTTCCCCACAGTGCACCCTCTTTCAGTTCTAAGGCTTTCCTTTCATTTTTTGAGCGGTGTATTTTTAAATACAGCCTGACATGAACAACAACTGCTGACACATTACACCGTGTCGATTTCACAAAACCTAAGCCAGGATGCAGACGCAGTATATGAAAAACTGCATCCAACGTTTCAGAAGCTCGTTCAGCTGCTTTTAGCAGCAATGACCAGATCGATGGGTAGTTCCTCCTCTAAGATCACTGCCGATATCTTTACTCTTTGGCATTTGTTAAAACCAGAGATGGGCAGTGTGAGAGTGAGAGTGTCTCATGACAGTGACGTAAGCGAGTGCGACGTTCGTGACAACAGCTGTGTGCAGATCAACAATGGATCATATATCGAGTGCAGAGA